AAAGAAAGAAAAACTCTCTAAGCTCCCCCCAGAGGCAACTTGTGACCCAACCGTTTCCCCTCAGTGTAAAGGGTACTTTTGTGAAGCATGGCTATGGTGCCTTCCCAGGGCAGGTGTCCCTGGGAGAGCACTTAAAACAACTTCAAGGGGCAGAGCCTATGGCTCAGTGAGTAAGGCGCCAGCCCCATATACCAAGGGTGGCAGGTTCAAAACCAGCCCCAGCCAAACTGCAACAAAAAAAATAGCTGGGCATTGTGGTGGGCATCTGTAGTCTCAGCTACTCGAGAGGCTGAGGCAAGAGAATCACCAGAGCCCAGGAGCTGGAGGTTGCTGTGAGCTGTGTGATGCCACAGCACTCTACCAAGGGCAATAAAGTAAGACTGTCTCTAAAATAAATAAATAACAGACAAAACATCTTCAAGAAATTCAAGTTAAATGACATGTGTATTCAATAAAGGTGATCACAAAATTAAACAATGAATATATACTTATATATGAGATAATTTAGAAAGGGATGTAAAATCCCAAGCTATATAAAGAGTGGCTTATGTGGACTTTGTACCTACACAGTCTACCCTCCTGCCACCAGGGGCTGTGAGGACAGGCCCTGCCCCACCGCAGCAGCTTTGGAGGGTAGGCCGGCCCTGTGACAGCAGAAAACCACACCAGTTATAACGGTGCTCTCAGAGGCTATCAGAGGACTGCTGACCTAACAGGTATGCAACATGCAGAGAGCATCCACTCCCAGTCAGCACTGCTGTTTCTACACCCTGAATCAATGCTAATGGTGTTTGCTCTTTGGGGGAAGGGGAAGAAGCCTCTCACCCGCCTTTGTGCTTCTTTTTCTTTGGAGTATCTTCTTCTGATGTCCTCCTGCCTCGGCCTCGGGACCCTCTCTTTTCTTTCTGACCTCGACCTTCTAAAAAAAAAAAATAGAAACCCAAATTATTTTCAATAATAATTATTATTATTCTGTAAGAATTCACTAACTCAAGAGAAGATCTACCCAAATGTGATGTTTACCATAATATTCCTAATATAGTTATTGACAAAATTCTTCAAAATCCCACACTTAAAATAAAATAAAGGAAACATTAACAGACTTGCTTTTCAGCCCTCGCCCCCCGGAGCTCTCGAAATCACTGCCCTCCATCTTGTCCTTCAGATCCGCCTCGAAGCGTGCCAAGTCTGCGTCGAGCCTTCGTATGTGCTTATCCACCTACAACAGAGACTCAAAATCTTATTTCCTTTTTTTTTTGAGACAGAGACCAGGTAAAATGTCACCCAGGTAAAATGCCATGGGGTCATAGTTGACAGCAACCTCAGGGTCTTGCTCTTCTTCAAGCTGGCCTCAAACTCCTGAGCTCAACCAATCCACCCACCTCAGTCTCCCAGAGTGCTGGAATTACAGGCATGAGCCACCATGCCTACCCCAAAGTATTATTAGTTTTAATTTCATATTTTTCAAAGTCTTATTTTCAAACAAAAAGCACAATACCTCAGAGCTCACAAATGCATAAAGAAATCCATCAGGAAGCATCTCCTTGCCTGTAATTGAATCTATAATTAACAAAAGCTCTGCTGAGACAAGACCCACTATTTTAAAGCTTAAGCAAGGTTTTTTCCTGCATAGTTTGTCATATCAACAGAATAAATCCTATTTAGGAAAAAACGTAAGTGAAGGCAATAACGAGAAACAGAGTTGTGAAATGCAATAGACTAAGGGATAGAGACATTTATATGGAATCCTAAACTTAAAAATCTAAACAGGCATAGAACACATAACTGAAGTCCCAGCCCAGAAGTTCTGAGGCTAGCCTGGGTAACACAGCCAGTCTCCATTTCTCAAAAAGCAAAAATTTCACGTTGGCTCACACCTGTAATCCTAGCACTCTGGGAGGCAAAGACAGGTGCACTGCCTGGGCTCAGGAGTTCGAGACCAGCCTGAGCAAGAGCGAGACCCTGT